ATATTATAAAATGTTATCTACATATCCCCGTGATTTGCATTCTTCTCTGTTAAATTTATTAATCTTTGCTTACGTTTCTGTTCTTTGTGCTGTTCTTGAATAGAGTGGAAATGTTTTAACAATTCTGAAAAGTCAAACGTGTCTTGAAACTTCTTGGGTTTCGCGATTGATACTGTTTTCGGTATCGACTTCGTCGTCGGTGGAATCGCCGCTAAACGTCTTTGCAAAGTCGAATAAGCCTCGCTTTGAGGAAGAATCATCAGTAAACCGTACAACGCATACACCAAGGCATCATTCTCCTCCCTCTCTAGAAGTTGTAATCTCAAATCTAAAATACATTACGTCTTAACAAATAATTTTCATACGCCGAGGATTCGATATACCTACAGGTAAATATCGGTGACTCGATCAACTGCACCAATTTGTCTATTTCTGTCAAGAACTCCACGGTCACTTCGATATTTTCACTGTGTTTAAGTCAAGTAATATAAAATCACCTAATTCGAAATAATTCATGTAATAAATATACAGCGTAATAAAGGATACAACGATCGAATAATATTGCAAGCGTGTCCATAGTGCTGCGACAAAAGACATAACGCTACAGTCGCGACAGGATTGTGGCACCAGGAAATGTACAAACATTTGAACAGTTCGCAGCTTTCCTATAATGGCAAAATAGAAATCGAAAATTAAGCGTACACATGAAACGTAAAAGAATGCTCACCAAGGAATCCAAATCTTTCAGTTTATTTCGTAAATCGAATAATTCCGAGCTCGTCAACAGTATAACGTTTAAAGTTTGTATCATCGTACACGCGAAACTTAAATTCGGTTCCTCCAACAATATCTTCGCTAACGTTTTGTAGATATCTTCGGCACTTAACAGAATGCACAGCTCTCTAATGATAAATGTTCCTCTTTCTTCCAGCAAATGTCTGTCTGTCGAGAATATTCTCAATAAGCTGACAATGAATTTTGTGAAGTACTTGTTCTGGGTTTCTGCGTTCGAATCGGTGACAGCTGCTTCGGGTGATTTCGAACTGATTATCTCAGCCATTACGACCAGTGTTTGTTGCACCACCTCATCTGAATTGTCGCTTAGCGACTTCATTAAAATCGGGAACAAACTTTCGATATGATTAAACATCTTGTGTGGAATGTTTAGAAACAAATGATGAATCCATTTTAAAACGGCTACTTTCGTTTGAACCGACATGCACATCAAATGCTTTATTAATACTTCGACGACACTAGATAAATCTAAACTCTCGGCTAAGGAACAATTCTGACTAGAGTCTGAAAAAGAATCAGTTCGTCATTATTTTAAATACCTCGTAATATTATATCTATTTTACCTTTCTGATTTTGAGTATCAGCATCGCTGATATTATTTACAACTTGCGTGTTCTCCATAGTTACTAATTTCATCAAATTCGCGTTCACTTGCGTCGCGGTTTCTTTAATACTTCTTCTGGTATCCCCGTCGTATGCTAGACAAGGTAACACTGCTACAAAAATCCCAGACATATATGGGAGCATGAGGGGACCTGACAAATTTACAAATTCCTTGATCCACGTGATCGCTGTCAACTGCAACAGTTCGTCTGTACTCTGTGCGTGCGTAATTAAAATATTTATCATCCCGGGAAAATCTACTCTCCCGGGATTCGCCTTTATACTCCGTAAAAATTCGCCAAGAACTGTATCTGTAACTTTCTTAATTTCTGGTGTCGGATCCTCTAATATTCTAAATAAACCATCAAGAATTTCAGGTAGAAATATAATAAAATCCATGTTAGGGACAGCATCTAAGACAGATACCCATGCTATTACAAACTGCCTACCAAACGGATTTTTGGTATAAATACGTTCCCGTAATAAAGGCATGAATCCGACTAAATCGAACAAACCGCTTTCTGTGACAATATCCTGGAACGAGACAATAACAATCATCGGTAGACTGCATAATCTGATGTACGTACAGATTTGCTACCTTCATCAATCTGTCCAATAGTTCGGTAGCATTTTTCACGCTCTGTTCCGAGTCGCAAGCTAATTTACTAAGTGCTGCAAAGATATCTGTGAACTGTGGCAGTACAGCACCTCTGGCTACCTTGACTACGTTGTACAAACTCTCGCAAGCGTAATATCTGACACGCAAATCGGAATCACAGAAACAAGCTAGGATAGGACGAATCAAGTCTTCTATGTATTGGCCAGTGTCTTTTCCCAGGCCCACTGCGATCGCAGCCAAGCCTATCAAACCACCTTTCCGTGTATGCGGATTCTGGGATGTAGCAAGATCCTGACCCAATACCTTTAACAATCGCTTGATTTGTATGGTATTGTTATGCGCAGCAAATTCCTTCACCATCCTGAAATAAAGTACAGATAATAAATAATGGCTATAAGAAATATCTCATATAGACAAGAGAGGAATACAAGCAAACAGAATGCATGATCGTACTTTTCGATTTCCAGAGCAGCCGCTTTTCGTTTTTCGTAGAGCTTGTCATTGAGAGAACGTACGCAGGCTGCGCTGAGAGGCGCATAATCTCTCTCGGACATCATTTCTCAATACGAAATTTTAATTTATAATATTATACATTAAAGTTATTTAACGGGACGACAATCTCACTCCAACCTCTAACTACCGTGACATGTCATCGCTTTCGGTCTTCGGTCCCGTCTGTCCATAGACATGTAAGAATAGACCGCGCAACGCGTTAGTCGTGGACGGGTCTGTATTATAAGTGGAGCGACAGAAGAAAAAAAAAAGATTGACAATCTATACGCGTAAATAATGCGTTTGTTTGTTCTTTCAATTAGAGGATGGTAATTTCCTCTCAATGATTAGAGATTTAGAGCATAGTTGCCAGCAAACGGTCCTACCTACCCCTTCCACTAGCAAATTAGCTCGATTCCTCTCTGGCGGCGAGAATAGCGTACCGCACGGCGTGACGTTCCCCCTCCAGAGGCTCGCCAGAGAATCGCGCCAAATTGCTGATGGAAGGTATAGGTAAGGCTTTTTGCTGGCAATTATGATTTAAAATTGAAGTTTTTGCAATGATTTTGTAAAGTTTTGTAGTGTTGTGAGTTACGAATATGTTGCATCGTAACACCGAATCGAATATGACGCCTCAGCGATGTGCGAAGCCGGTAAGGATCGGTTCTGTTGCGGATAGCGCGGGTCTACTTCATTTGTGACCAGGTAACGATTTATTCATTTTTGCGATACATAAGTAAGGTCTTAGGTTCATTTTGGATAAGGGGACTGTACAAAATAAATTCGATCTTTATTATGTAGTACGATTTTCTTATACAAACAACGTATTATACATTATGTTTAAACACAGATGAGGGAATGATGATCGCTAATGGCAGAAATAGAGATACTATTTTACAAACAGTAAACGTGATGATATCGATCGTTAATCGTTAATATGGCTAAAACTTAAATCTACACGACGTACAAAACATTATTTACAGGCGTTCCAAGGTACATGCTTCACGTAGAGTAATATGGTTCAGCACATTAAAGCTGATCTGAGCCACTGAAAACATAATTAACAAAATAATTATAATAGAGTCCAATTTTTTGATAAGACAAATGACGTACCTCGGTTAAACTTAATTTTATCGTTCCGTTTTGCAAAGGGTCTTTACTTTCGAATATTCCTGGAAAATGAAATTAAGTATTAGTAACATGAAATCGCAATTGTACTGGACCGGAGAACCTTGGATTTAAGTCTTACCGAAAGCGTCGCTTAAATGTAATATTGCCGAAACGAAGTCGCCAAATCTGAGAGTTCCATCCTTTCTCATGTATCGAAGAATTAAAATCGAGAGCACATCCGTATTTAGTTGGAATCCTGATAAATACATTTTATACATGAACGACATATTGATAAAATTTGCATTGTCTGATCACACACTTCGTATCTCACGTATTCTCCTGGTTTATTACTCACCAACTTCCAACAACGCGTCCCGCAGTCGTTCCGCTTTAAGTATCCCAGTCTTCTCTTTCGTGTGATTTTTAAATGCAGCCTGCCAGTACTTTAAGCTGCACATCAGATCCTTGAAATCGTTGAATTTTAATCGGCCGCTTCCGGAACTCTGTGTTAAAACCGATTTAAGGAAAACAAGAAAATCTCGTATACGACGATTAAAACCATTAATGCGAAGGATACGTCCATTGTGAGCACTACTTGTCGACATACTTCCATACATGCACAGCTTTTTATGTAATCTGTAAACGGAATGGAATCGTATTAGAAACGATTATTAAATCACAATTTATAAAACTTTACCGTTCGGCAAGCAAGCCTCAAGGAGCTCTTGCAATTCGAAAGCGTTCACCGTTCTATGTTCATCCGCGAGTTGTAAGAATACGGCTTCGTACTGCGAAAAACCTTTCCCTTCCAGAGGCGGCGCTTTGATAATTGCCGACTTTACCAACGACGGCGGTGTATCCAGAAGTCTAATAGAAATTCGTTTCGTAAGTTTTAGTCACATTGACGATTAACAATCATCATAATTATTTCCGAGAACCGTATTTTGTTAAGAGTAAAGATCTTCGTTACTTACTTGAGCTTTAGAGGCTTACTACTGTAAACTCTCAATGTAAAACTCGTTTCTTGCGTAGGCTCAAAAGTAGTAGGTACCAGTAAATAGCCACCCTGATCTAATTGACATCTGTGACTGACCTGACGACTGTTTGTGTATTGCGAATTTACTAAAGACTTGTTCTTCTTAAAAAATTGCTTGTTTATCGACTCCGTGCTGCTTTTCGGTAAAGTGTACGCCGTGAAACCTATGACCTTCATATAATAGAAGATTTTCAATCATTAATACATTCCTCGATTATGTAGAACCGGACGAAAGTTCCATTTAAAGTCTCTCACTTTTATTTCCATGATCGAATGCTGATACAGCGAAACGATCACTTCTTCCATTTCGCTCAGAATCAAATGTAATTGCGGATTAATGTGGAAAGTTTCTGCAAGACAGATGATTTATCGTAATTCTAATGAGCAGTCACGTTACGCATTACCGGATTTCCGTTGTAAAACGATCATTATTGGAATGAACCATTAACGAACCTTCATTGTTTCGACATCCTCCCGCGGTCACGCCTCTCCTCCAACTGCCTTGATAAAGCTTCATTTGCCAGGTATGTTTGCTATGCAACGACGGCTCATCCCTCGATGTTTCGGCATCAAGATGTACGACTTCCAAATGAGTGAACGTCTTCACGAAATCTGAATACGATATCCTGCGATTGAAAAGTACGAATTAAAGAGATCAGAGATTTTTATCTATGTAGATGAGGCAGTTTATTAAAATTGTCTCACCAGAACTCGCCCTCGGCCATGTTTCTGACCGCTAAACGGTCCCTTTCTATCGGTGGTATCTCGTCCCATTCGAGGCCGCCTCTCGCCCAAGCGCCGACGTATTCCCTTCCAGGTCCGAGCGGATTTCTTAATTTTACCAACTGAACCGCCTCGCCATTGAACGTCTCCACCTGAATTTTCCGCAATCCTTCATAAAATCGACCAAGACGCACGATCCAACAAAACTGTTACTAATATTTACCCTCTCGATGGCGTACAGCCTGTAGTTGATCCCCATTTGAATACCGTTCGCGAGCTTCTCCGTACTGGCACGAATCTCGAATTAATAAAAAGTACATAATAATGTGGAGAACATGGAAGACGATTAGAATTATAAAGTTATCGTCTTACTTGCTGTTGATTGTTGTTTACTGTACAAGTGATAAGGGACGTCATGTCGAGGAGCTTGGCGAGAACTCGTCCGCAGGCCGTAGGATCTTGTCGTATCGCGATGCTCTCCGTGATTCCCCCGGTGAGGTCAGATAAACCGTCCAGAAGGGTTCCGTACTTGAGAGCCTCGTACGAGCCGTGCAATCTGAAATTACACGGGGAAATCACAATAGTTTCTCCGGCTTTCTTGGCGAACAATTCTTAGAATCGGGTCAGGAGACGCGGAAAATCCTATCGTTTATAGAATTCCGACGAGTCACGAGATCATCGGAAGAAAGCGGATATCTAGAATTTTTCAACCCGCGACCCCATCGGCGGCGAGCCAGCCAGCCTCTTTCGCATGGTCTCCGCGAAGAAAGTTGAACCGGTCGCTCGTTAATCTCTCACTGTAGCTTTTGTTTCGAGTAAACTTGATTAACCAGGATTCGTCGAGATAGAAAGGAGAGATTCACGCGCCTACTGATAAGCGAAAGGTGGCCGATGTTATCTGTTCGGATGTGCCGTTTCTAAGAGAATTAGCGTTCACCAGATAACGGTGCTCTCTATCTCGCTCTCCTGTTCTGCACGTTCCTCGTCCCAGTAACGCCTTCAGAACTCGTGCACACGCGAGGGTAAATCCTGCGTAGGCTAATCTCTAAACTAAACTGTAACCATTCACACGCACCGGTCACATGGGTATTTTCTCAGGGAAGACGAACGTAACAAATCCGTTTTCCAATTGTCTGTCTCCTATGGCCTTCGGATTCGCGCTCGCTGCCGGAACACCGATAACTCGGAAGTACTTTACGTTCATTTAGTACGCTACAGATTTTATACCGATATAAAACAGAGAATATTAAAAGCTGAATGCTCATGTCTCAATGATAAAGGAAATTAAGACATCTTATAAATGGATACCATAAATGTTTCATGTCGCATAAAGTCTGCAATCTAAGAATAATTGACTGAATCACGTCTCCCGAGAATTGATAGGTCTCGTTTAATACCTATTGATTATGCAGTCAAATTGATTGGAAATGATGTTAGTAGCGATGAATAGGATTTAATAAGATCTTTAAGTGAAAGATGAAAGATATCGTCCCGAGGGTCACCGCATCTGTTCGAGTAGCAGGTACGTATGTAACGCTACCGTTGCTAGTTTGTGAGTGAACGGTAACGCGAGCCTTGCCATTGACGTACTCACTTCCTGTTACCATCTAACGATGCAACGCGATGAAGTCATATCCGACGTTATTCATTACATTTTATTAAATTAATTACATTCTATTAATATATTATACGACCGAGCTATTAATTATAAGGAACATAAAATATTTGGTAGAATAGAAATAAAAAAACGCGTTTATGTAGTTTCCTGGCGGTCGTAAACTGAAAATGCACGTCGAGATATCAGATTGGTAGACGAACTGTTAACGAAGCTCGTTTTCGTGTATCCATTAACGAGGCAGGCCGTTGTGGCAGCGTGGACTGTGGTCACCGGTGCACTGACCTCCAATCCATTGCTGGCAACCAACGAACCGACTACTCGTCGAGTGAAAGTATCCGTATACTTGCTTAGTACACCGGCATGTGCGTGCACAAATATATAGTGCCGAATATAGCGCCGACATACCGTATCCCGAAGCTATGCCGAATTCTGATTTCTCGTTGCTCGCGTGCCGAACGTCCAATGGTCCAACACTTTGTTGCCCGAGAATTACCAACGCGATGAATCACTAGCTCTCCTAATCTGCAGAACGCTTCTATGTTTCTAAGCACTATCTTCAAGAATTTTCTCGATAAATAACTAATTTCATTGATACATTTGTAAGAGGATTAGGGCGGAAGGCAATTAGGAAGGCGTGAAATGATGGAGACCAGACGCCCAAGCATTCGGGACCCGAACAGTTTGTTTACAATAAAGTCGATAACGAAATGTATGGACCTCTCCTTCCATGGAATATGGAATTTTTGACGATTTTTGGAATATATTCCGATATTTTTCGATATTTTGAAACAAAAAAATTTTTTTATTTTTCCGAGATTTTTCCAAGGGGGTACCCNATTTCTTTTTAATTATAGGAAATACGTTTTTCTAAAATACATAAACTTTTGGGATTGACTGTATAGCCAATACATCCTTAACAAAGCAACGTCGACAGTCTCGTCGGCGCACCATCGTATTTTCGAATAATTTCGATCTCAGCGTAATTTCATTCGCGACTCGCCATAGTTTTCAGTGTTCGCAATCACGCAAGCAAGCAATCACGAACTTACATTCTGATAAACGACTCTAGCTTCTAAAAACCGCCTATCTTAAAGATCTTCCTCAATAAATGACGAATACATCTTCATATTAATACACGAAGTACGTGACTGGTCTCGTTGCTTTATTATATTTTTAGCAGGCTAATTAAAATGGTATTGTCTACAAGGGGAAATCTAAATCACTTCGGTATCTCGTAAAAGAGGATTAATTGGCCGGTGGTATCGTTACAGTTGAAAACTAATTAGAAATAAAATGCGTTATCGGGGTTAACCACCGAACGCTTAACGCGTGGCTTGGCGATTTTCTTGTGCCGCTACAACCCGATGGTTTCTAATGGAAATCGCGGGGAAGCGGGCGCGCGCGTCCAGCATAATTCTCTCGTGACGCGTGCTGGCACGCGAGCAGCTTTCTAACTGATTTTAATACAGCTACTGGGATTAATAAGCCTCGATCCGACGTTCCGGATCGATGGGACAGGGTTATCGTGAAAGAGGAAAGGTCAGAACGATCCTCTCTCTCGTCATGAAAAGAAGTGTGTCATCGGTGAGATTCCCGCGCTGGCGCCGATTCCGATCGGAAAGCCTGGAATACTAATCTGCCCTCATGAAAGTTTATCGTACAATCAAACTTTTCAAATTTAGAAAAGAATAATATTTTCCCATTATATTTTTAATCTCTTCTAGTAATAACTGTAAAAACTAACTGTCTGTCGTTCGTTGACCAGAGATTTCCGAATAACATGCAGTGACATCAATTCCACAGAACCTCCTTGTTCGATTTGATTACATTGCAATTATTCCTATTTGATTACTGACTATCGAATGACGTTGCGCGTCAGCAAAATCCGATGATCATCATTGAATAACAGGCGGACGCATCTACAGCGCTAATCGTATTTTCAATGCAGCTGTTAGACGTACAATCGTTGTTAGAAGCCGTTGATTTCGAACGATTCAAACGTTAATAGACAACAAATTCCGCGTACATCGAACGTCGAACGGAAGTCATCGAGAGACAGCGACGCGCTATCAATTATTAATGAACACCGAGACCCCGATTCCTTTGCAGAAGCTGGTGACCGCGCGTGTAGAAGTGCACCGGCGGATGTAATCGCGCGGGTCGAATCGAACTCGTAATCGAAAAGAAATCGTGGCATCTGGAGTTCTTGAGTAACTGATGTACATACCTCCTTGATCGAGTTGTTCACGGTTCAATAAGTTTAATGCGCCGCTCGGCTCGTTTAACTTGCGAAATTTTACTTTCGATTTTTTTTTTTTTTTAGATTCAACCAACGTGTCGTGTTAACGGACATGTTTCTTATTTAATGTCGCATGCCAAACCTTTTGTTTAAACGTTTGCACGGTATTCTGCGTTCGGTCTCTTTGTCCTGCTTTCTCTAAAACCGCGAGTAGACGACAATTTCGTATTACGCGTGTAAGTATACTTATTTGGTATACGTGACGCAAGATATGGAGGTTTCATCATGAAATTATAATGAGTCGCGTTCCCGATCGTTAAACAAGTAGCGAGTGGAATGTTCAAGCCTCATCCGTTTAACGAAAAGATTTATGTAACGATAAAAGCGTGTGCATAAAAAAGTTGACCGATCTAAATAGCGCTTGTGCAGACATTGAAGTCTCCGCAAGGAGGAGTGGAAACATTTTTATATTTATTTGAAACATCGTATCTCTAGATTCTCTTAATCCGATGTAACAAAAAAAGATGCTTGAACAAGGATATTTTAACAGCATCGGGGTTTCGTAGTAAGGACGTGTGTGCGAGCGTGTAAATATCGCGTTATCGGTGGTGAAATTTGTTACGGTCGCGGGGCCCCGTAAATAAAAAGCGAAGGAGAAGCCTGGACCGAACCGATTCTTATCGGCTTCGTCTGTTGCTCTTCTTTCGCTCCGCGAGGTCGTCTTCCTTTTTCGAGGCCGTCACGTCGCCTGGCCGTTTCAGGATCAACGCCCAGGGTTTATATCCCTGACGGAGCAAGAAACGGGCAGGAGGCGCGGTGTAAGAAGCGGATAACGAGGTGAAGGAGAGAAGAAGGAAGGAGGAACGGTCATCAGCGGGAAGAGAGATTAAGAGGAGGAGCAAGGACCTCCAGGCGAAACCGGTCATCGTCGTTCGTTCCTTCGTTCGTTCGTCTTCCACCTCGGGGAAGAAATCGCGTGGAACTATTACTCGCGATCCGCTTCGTAGATCTCGAATAAATTCCTTCGGCTTATGACATAATATCCGGTTCGTTTACGTACGCACAGACTGAATCGGTATCGACTATCATTTGAAATTTATTTATTCATTCTGTCATGGGGTCTCGGTTTGACAAAATACAGGAATACATCAATGAGTACTTATAGATATATATATATACAAAAATCAATGGTAATCTTTGTATAAATTTTCCTTATCATTTCCTTAGGAAGTTTGTGTATAAGATATCCTAAGTTATCCTCCTTACAGAGGAAGTCCAATCCTATGAGATCAGGATTTTCAGAACGAATCTTACATATATAAACACATTCCCATGCCATAATCGAAACAGTGATAACGACTATAGGGAAAAGGATCTCTCGAGCTCTGAGAGCATTGAGAAAAATTTTAAATCAATTCATTGCCTTCTTTATTACATTTCTCAATATACCTGCTTCCCTTAAAACCAACAGTACTCTTTTATGATGAATGTATGTAAAGTTTCTTTTAATTTTAGTTTGCAATTTGTGTTTCTATCAAAACGCGTTCCGATGGATTAAAACAGAATCGAAGAGTATTGAATTATTATGAAGTAGTGAGAAAAGCGTGGATCGAATGTAAATACTTGGATTTCACGCTGGCACGACCGATCTTGTAAGTTCCAGTGGGCGGCGTGGGCGTTTATCAGGTGGACGTTCATGGTGCGTTAACGGGAGGATCGACCTTACAGAGATCGATCGATGAACCTCGATCGCCACCGCCTTTGTGAACGCCCACGTAAAATCGCGATTCGAACTCGGTGTCGTAACGCTCGAAAACGCTTTCCAAATTCCCTTTCTAGTACTCCGTGACATCATCCGTATAATAATCAAAGTAAACTATCTTAGCATTGATTAGTACATCTCTCTGTTCGTGTTGTCTACTTAAACTGGACGCAAAAAGTAAAGAGAAGAGACAGCCGCATTAATACGCATAAGAACCTGCAGTCTGCTCAGCACAAAAATTTTTGCCCGATTAAACAATAAGAAAGACAAAGAGAAGGAACAGGGGCGAGGAAGGATCTCATGGACGAGCGCTCGTGTGACAGACAAATGAGCGAGCAGAATCTGAGCGAGCAGAATCTCGAGTGGAAGCAGAGCTCTACTCACTTGGCGTACGCTTTCTCCAGGAGAGCCGGCCAGAATTGATCGCTGTGACGACTCTGCACGAAAGCCAGCCGTCCGTGAATCGCCGGTAGCCTGTCGTCGACGAGAACTTCGACCCATGCGCCGCACCACCACAAACGGAACCTGAACACCCCGGCGTATTCCGAAGTCGGTGAACCGGGCGGTTCCCCGGTGTTACCGAACCCCTGATCGGCCGGTACCACTCTGTAAAAGAGCCCCTTGCTCAGGTGCAACACGCCTAAGCAAGACACCAGCCACTTGTCGCCTGAAAAACGCAAATACGAAAAGTCCAATTTAATAACTAGAAAGGTAAAAGACCTCGCACAATGAGAAGAAAATGTATTCTGGGAGATTATGCCTAATATAGTTTGAAAGCGTGGAATGCATCGCGCACTCGATCTCCGTCTCGCGAGGGAGCGTGTATAATTCAGGAGCACGAGCGTCGGTCGTGGAAGGAAGCCGAACGTTTCGTGAATTCGTGCAAACGCGTTTCTCGAAGGCGACGTTCAGGGTACCGTGTCCCGTTAGCGTGCATAAGTACTGTAAGAACACGTGCAAGCGAGCAAGACACGTGAGCATTTTTTTTGACCTACATTAAGATCATTCCAGTTGAGACACGACTCCTTTGCCCGCGCCTTTTATCATTCGTAACAATTCTTCGAATTTATTTTATTGCTTAACGACGCTCGACGGGTCAGATATAAATAAATCAATGGAACGATTTCAAATTGAAGCCACAGTTTAATAGGATTTATAATAAATATCAAGATCGAATAATTTTGTTTGAATAGAATCGAGGCACATATTTTTCCGCTCTACAAGCGCTGGCACACATGTTTATGATCCAATGGGAAAACGATGTAGACGCAACGCGACCGTGGTAACATTCGTATAGTTTTAACAAGTTGAGTAAGCGTGGAGAAACTATTAAAGCGATAGAGAAAAAAAGAATTACGCGAATTGTGTTACGCTTTGTAATTGCGGTTTCTGATTATCCGTGATTTTCTTATTACCCGGAGAAAGCTGATTGTTCGTTCACTTTCGCGGCGGCGTTCGTAAAATTAAATCTCTGTGGTTCAACGAAATGAGGAACGATCGTTCCACCCTAAATAAATCTTCGTAAATATCCTTTCAATGATCATTAAAATTGTTAACTCGTCAGTATTTTATTGTATATGATGATTCTCAATAAGAAATGATTTTTCTTCTACTCGATAAACGTCAGGAGGTGAAATGGAATCTTTGGTCTTAAGATCGTGAGAACATTTGCTTAGAACGGAGAGCAACGACTTATTGGCTGACTTTCGTTTTCGAAGGTCTAATCACCGATCAGGCTGCCGCTTATTAAACATTTAATGACGAGACACTCAGACAACGTATTATTTATGCAGCTTCACTTTCAGTTATTACTATTCTCTGGTATAAGTAATTGACATGTAATCGCGACGAACAATGCAATTATAAAACATTCTCGTGACTCTACGGCAGGTTAATTAAAGAGGTCGCCAAGTCAATTAAGTCGTATCACGATGGAATCTATTTTGTATCTCGTGAATAAACATGTAAGAAAATTTAGTTACATTTTGTCTGATTCATGAGGAACACTCATTACGATACGTAGCACGCATCGTACACGTAACTGCTCGTTATTCAGTAAAAGTTCATTCAGAGAAAACAGAGTAACGTATATAATAATACCTTTGTTTGCAAATAACATTCATTATTTAATAGTGCAAGTAATATAAGAATCAGGCGGTAGATAGTGAAACGCGGTTTTAATTAAAATACATTTCGCTTGTTGAAAGACAATTCTATTTCTGAAATACACGGAGCTCCGTTAGTTTGTAAGAAGGAATCGACCAAGGTAAAACGAATCACAAGGTTCGCGCACACCTGAGTCGTATCATTAGGTTTTATCGCTAGAATTCTCTGCGCCAGGAAGAGGGATAAAGGTGGCAAGGCTAAACCGGAACGACTAGTTTTAGTTACGTATGTAACTACATACGTTAGTTGCCTCCTTCGTTTTATCTCCCTAAGCTGTTTCCCTTCAATGTACCGAGACCCGACCACTTAAAATATTAATAACAGACCAGGAAGTAAAAGCCTTACCCATTTTACCAGGTATTACGTCGAACTGGGCGGGGGTGTCGCTGACAAATATTGGACGGTTGCATAATTCCTGAAACAGAATTAAATAAACGACTTAAAATATGATACTCAACGATTTATATTACAGGAAAGTGTTAAACATTTTGTACAGAATTAATAAGGATAAATGTAGATATGATAATGCGTTTAACTCTGGTTCAGAAGTTTTACGCAACTTCGAACCGTGTAAGAATTTCCAAGATCCATTTTGCGGTATTAATTTGTCAGAAGTTATCTGTCTTGAGCAACAGGTATGGAACAAAGGCCGATTATATAACGCTTCGTTTTATGTCTTACAACGCGTAATTATTCGTGCAGACGTTCACGATTTCTTTACACAAGCATGAGCTCCTTCGGCGTTCTTTTTTTTTTTTTTTTATCGTCCCTTTCGCGATTCAGAAACGGTTTCCACGTTGTTTCCGGTAACAGAAGAAACAATTTCACGGAATTCCTCGCGCTCGCTCTACGTAAGATTTAGACTGCCGGCGTAACGTGACAGTCGGTCATTAATTACTGCTAATTACCGTGAAACGGTAGAACGCGTCTGCACATTTTCATTGTCACGTTCGCTCCACTTTTCGAATCATCCTTGTTACAAATTCGTAACATATTTAATTTAATTAAACAGCACGTACATTCGTCAAGTTGTAAAGTATTGTTCATTATTACGGAGTTGGTTCTTGTGAGACGATTTACGCTATGATTTCAAAGATATGTTCGAACGATTTATTTCTGATTCGAATGTTAGTCAGCTGTCTTCCGTTTCAACACAGGACGTTCCTGTTCACCACTCGCGTCACGCTTACCTTCGATCCTTTCCGGTCGCGACGAAGTGTGGCACGTAAACGCTTGTCTCACGTAATACCTATTGCGTGGACGCAATTATCGACCTTGTCGTAGAAAGCCTTGTCGTCGGTAGCTCGATTTTACGCGAGGCAAAGTGCACATACATTCTTTTCCCAAGTTTTTTTTTCACAATTAACCCCTCCCTTTGTCTTTAAAGAATCGTTCTTATCACGGTGATGCGTTAAACACAAATAGAATCTAAAAGGATTGCAGGATAACATTATCGAAGTTGAATTGCAAATCTGGTCTCTTACGTCTCCAAATGAATTCGTTTCGTTCGTACGTAGTCGGGTTTTTTAATATTCATTGAGTAAATGTTATGCAACTATCTATTGGATAAAGAACCGTTAGCCAGTGTGTCGAGTACGGTAAAGACGTTGCGCCATCGTAAGCACGAAGACGACAAAGACATGCACTATGTGTCAAGGCTGCGTACTGTTTCTGTTACGGTTCCTAGGTTTCAGATTCCTTGTCCTTCCGTTCCGTAGGAACTGAGGCAACTCAACGCGACCAATTTTCCTACTCACTAATTAACGAGTAAATTAATTGCAATCATGAATAAGGCCTCTGGTATCTGTAAATCAAAACTATCGTAATGTCTAACGAGACTCCAGTCTCAGTCTAAGAGTCTCTAAAGGAAGTCAGTAGAAAATATTTTCAATTATTTATTTAGTGATTTCATTATAAAGTTTGATAGAAATACATTTGGTTTGATTAAAATACAAGGAGTCACATAATCAAATTGTACAACGTATGTTTGATAAAATCTTTAAACAACAAGCGTGTGCGTGATACTTCTTACTAACTCAGTCTGTAGGTACATTCTTATCATCCTTCTATTAAGAATTGCATGTGCACCTCGTGCAAAGTATCATAAATACAGTTTATAATCGCTACCAATTAAGTTTGATAATTTACCTTGGGCCTCTTCCATTGGAATTGAAACGGAGGCGTCTGATGGTAAAAGACGGAAGTTTGGGTCGCAGGAAAATCGGGATCTTCCCAAAGTTCTCCTCGTTTCAAGCACGAACGCTTGATCCGTTCGTACTCGCTCATCACGTCCTGTAACAATTAAAAATCCCAATTGAATTCAACAGTGCACCAAGAAGTTTCACTGATTTATATGATAAACTAGTCGCGTTTATATTCGGAACGGCTACTGATTTCAAGCAGATTAGTATGTGCAACGCAATGAAAAATAAACGGCGTTCGCTTCTATTTACAGAGTTTAATTACGACGTTTGCCTTAAGAAATTCCTTCACGCGCTTTAATTCGTACAATGTACCAAACAATAGCCTTTAAATATTAATGAAATACAAGCGTTTAAATTACGAAAGAGCACAGCCACATGGTGAACAATCATCAGGCTTGTTAAAAACGCTTATTACGACCTCGATAGGACGTGATAACGCGTTTCGAAGACCCATTGTATCGAGGTCAACACTTTCTCTCCCTGGCAAGCTCTTCGTTACACGGGCTACGTTTTCCTTTAAGTATCGCCCGCAGAAAACTTGTTTAAGCAATTATCGACGGACCGAGTTACGGCTCACAATTAGCTTCGAAATACGGCCCTTTAAATGCAACGCTTATGCATAGCTTCTCGTGTCGTAAATTCTGAACCGCGTTCGCCAGCGACAGACTTAATAGTTCGTTCGTTACGTGCTCCTAAATAGGAGACAGAGAAATTCAAACGCTTCCTCTCGTTATTCACGAAACCAGCGTCGTAGACAAACGTTCCTTCTGAATATAATAATTGCTACTCATTCATTTCTCCTATAAATCCAGCGAGACTATAATATATTTATCACTGAATTCGATTCGATTATTTATTGTTTCATGGAACTACGCATTGGGAATAGTAAGAAACGTAAAACGTTTTTCTGTTCCTAACGGCATTCGCCAGTTGTAAATGATAAGCGGTTTCGAATTCGAACGATTTCCTGTCTATTACTAAAAATCACCGTCACGGAAGAGGTAACCGATCGAATTGGTCATTTGCGCGAGCGAAACGAGGATGTTCGCCACGGTTGAACGAGCCGCGATTATGCGTATTTCGCAACGGCGATAATACATTTTCACCACGTGTAGGCGACAAAAAGGTGTGCGAAGCGAGCGACTTGTGAAAGCTTTCGGATTGTGAAACGGGTAATTACACCCGAGTTGGACCGAGGGCTCTGGGCCATTGTTGCGACCTGAGAACGAATCTGCTGCGTCAATTAAGATGGTAACGAATCGTAGCGGCTAATTAGAATGCCCCTGAGACGAATCCTCTTTCAACCACTTCGAACGGTTCCCTATTTTGCATACCGGGTCGAGGCGTGCCTTTTTCTATTGTTGTCATAAACAGTCGTGCATTTGATTGTTCAACCCCTTTCGCAATAGGTTCGTTTCTTACCAACAGTCGTGGATTTATTATACAGAAGCCGAGCACGAAGATTGCGGACAAAAGTGCACTGACAACGTTGCTGAACCGAGTAACAAGATAATAAAGGGAACAGGTAGCTTGCGACATGTAGCCTTGGTATTCTAAAACAAAGAGCTCGCTTCACCGTTGATTTTCGAGGAAACAACCATTTTACTCTGTATGACTAAAGGGATGAAATTATAAATTGAACAAGATGTATGGCCAATGTGTGCAATCGTGGCACAGTTTCGAACTTGTCATCTTACATGATACATTCTTGGGGATTATTTATGGGAAAATTTATTTTAATCATTATAAAGCAATGAAGAGCCTTGAAATTTTTACACAAACCTTTTTATATGCAAACGAAAGCCAATGTAAAATGTTAGCTAAATCTTATCATTAATTCAATCATCAGGTAAACTCCCTTAAAGTAAACAACAGATGTATGAAAATAACTGAAAATTGATCAATGCCAGCTTATTTATAGGAAAATAAGCGAAAGTAGCGATGGTTGAACCGCGCATAGAACCAACCAAGTTATACCAGATGGTTTTTTATTGCGGGGCTGAATCGCCATCATCCGACGAAGGGAAGCATGAAGTACTCTCGCGGTATTCCCTGTCAGAGATAGATGACCGCGGCACGTACCAAAGGGAGAGAGAGAGAGACGGATTTTACAATGTACGTGCCAGGTTATTTGACTTTGCCTTCCGCTAAACCGAACACTTGGCCGATCCACGGCGTACACGTTAGCTTTATAATAGCTAGCATACTCTCGTACCGGTCGGACTAGTTTCACGCTTGGTTCTCCGGCGGCCTTGAAGCGCGCCAACCGCTGCAAACTCGTCGAGAAAACCTTTATGCCTCTGCCTCGGAGAGACGCTGTCGTGTCTCTACTCCACACGCCTTCCGGAATTTCACCCGCTGCCTTCAGCTTTTATACCTCACTGACGCGAATTACCGGCGATTCTACACCGGCTCGGGACGATAATAAAGTGGACTGATCGCAAACATTCCACGTTGCCTAGTCGTGTTGCGAATTTCACGAAACACTTTATAGAAAACTGGGAATTTTTACAAATATTCTGATTGCATGTAAAAATTTCAGAATGTTAGGTATTAAAAATCGAACGTAATTCGTCCAGGGATTTATTTAATTCGAAACTCGCGTGAAAATGATTCAATGTCTAAGGCCCCGATGACTAATCCCACTTTCTATTTCGTCGATTGTTTCTTATTCTTGTATCAGTAATGAAAATATCGAGTAGAACAAAGTTCGCTAACTGCGTTTTCTCCCGATTGGCATAGGCAATCAATTATAACCGTACGGTGGAGGTGGGTAATAGGGCAAGGAGATTGCAGCTTCGCCGTTAACAAGAGGAACGTGTATCAGCCCAAGTAAAGGATTATTTCTTCGATGTGCCAGAGCGGTTGCGGGCAAGCTGCTCGCATAACGGGACACCGCGAATGAGAGTTCTTCGTAACCTCGTGAACCACGACCTTAATTTCGTTCCCTCTATTACGCGCCGCTCCATTTTTCATCCCTTCGTACTTGGCTCTAGTCAGGACAACGGCTTCTTAAAATAATAGTCTTTGCACACCACGAATTACATTCTAATAGAAATTGCAATTCTCTCCTTTTCTGTGCTTCTCATTCCTAATTCAGGGATTCTCAATTCAAGAATCGTTCAAACGCTGTATTTGATTCTTTAATTGTGTGATCTATTTTATTGTAATTTGATTTATCAAAGGATAAACAGACGAGCTCGTTTAAAAGATCAACCTTAAGAAAATTGCCTGTTACAAACACGTTTCTGTAAAAGAACGCATGATGCGTGCCGGAAATGTTTAACACCACCGCGGATAGATCTTTATCTGCCATTTACCCTTTGCTCTTAGCTTTCCAACACGAGAATTATAGCTCTTCTGGGTCCAACCCCTTCGTCACGTAACTATAATATTATCGCAACCACTGAAATTCAGGGAATATTTTAAACACAATGGAAACCCCGGTTTGTCTAAAGCTATTCTCGTGGCGATCTGCTGTTCACCTAAACTCTAAATATCTGAACATGCTATTTTGTTGAATAAATACATAGTGGTTTCACTTGTAATTGTTCCATTTTCATCGTAATGCTGGAATATGATATTTTGAGATAAGAGAACGTTCGCTTTCGTTCAGTTCGTTTCAGTTCTTGAAGAGACGTGCCTGTCAAGGAGACTAGTGTCACCACTTAATGAACGAGGCAAGAACAATGGGGTACACACCTGTCACTCACCGCGGTGACCAAGTTTTGAGTAGGTACTTAAGGAAACGTTGCCAACGTATTGTCTCAAAACAGTAGGTCTATTAGAAAGTAATGCATTCATTTTATTCGTGGAACTCTTCAAGGAACTATCTACTAAATGAAGACTGAAACTCATAGAAAAATTCTATCTGCAATTACAAAAAAAGAAAATGATTCTTACATTAAAAATATTTAAAGATGAATGCATTCTGCAATGAAAATGCATTTTTTAATTTGATACCGTAAGTGTTTTATTTAACGTAAAGAAGTCTGATCATATGACTGGCTTAGAATGCAGTTCCTGTAATATATGAAAAATGCAGTTACGTGGAACGGGTAACGTCAATCAGTTTGTCAATTTCGAAATACATTTCCTATAATGATTGTCGTTGGAGAAAAACTGGCGTCCCCATAATACTCGGTAATTCGTGTCAGCCTAGGAAACAACCGGCAATTTTGATTACGAACAAATCGCCAAATTGTGCTCGTTCCAATCGCTGAACACACTTTCTCCCCGTGCACTGCTTCAGATTTACGCAAATCTCTGCTCAGAGTGACTCACGAGACTCTACGCACAGAGAATATTCACAAGTCGTGGATGTTCTGCGCGTTCACATAAACTATTAAAATTTTATCAATTGGTAATCGAAATTGTAAACGTGATAATAAAAATCAAGTGACGCATCTGCAATCTCGCAAGATTCTCATTTATAATGTTGTCGCGAATTCAGCAGAAGCTGTTCTGTCGCGTTTAATTCGTGCGACGAGATCTTGAGAGGAATCGAGTTGCTGTGGAAGATGAATAGGTTGAACTTTTCGATTCGACACGTGAAGGAAGCCGAGGGGCAACAACCTCGGGATAAGAAAAACGTCTTAACGTCTCGTTACTTAGAAGAAGTCGATCAGAAGAAACTCGACTCGTTAGACGAGTCCTCGTAAATCAGAATCTCTTCAGGATGAAAACTAGTATTTACTAGCGTCTAAAGGATACCGAATCGCTGCGAACTGCAGAATCGAATTGACTATCGATTTCAACCGCTGCACAAATAAATTGAGAGGCAAGAACATTTATATCGAGATAATGATTCACTTTGAAGTCGTTTAACAATCCGCGAAAGTATTTTCCCACCGTGATTCACGGAGATTAAGAGTGACGCGTTCACAAATTTTACTGAATCATCTGTACGAGGAGAAGTGAAAGGGTACAGTTAAAATAAGTTGCAAAATTAAGAAGACGTTTATTGATATCAAATGTCAGCTAATGGATACATTAGAGAGGCGTTAAGTAACTTGCCTTTGGAAATCAAACACTTCATTAGTGTTGCCGGTCATTAAAGTAGGTAAACGTGAACGAACAAATAATAGCTTACCAGTAAATGTACATCTCCTTTATGTTCTCTGGTAGACAGACAGTTTATTGCTCTTAGTCCATTTTCACTACACAATGCCAGTTATAAATAATACAAAAGAAATTAATACAATAATTGATTTGATCGAAAGGAACCTTTAGGCGGTGTTAATTAACTTTAAGCAACGAAAATGCATTTTCCACTATAATAAAATCAATAAGGATAAATGAAAGATAATATGAAATGGAATCAGGAAGACGTGGAGTGAGACTAAAGACTGTAAAATCGTGAGCTTGGAAGACGAATCGCACCCGCACCGTCTGGATGATGCATAGGACCATGGGAGAACGCACCACGAGCCAAAAGATGAACGTGCGTGTAGGAGGCCCGATCGTTAGCTGCGATAGCGTTAAGACGCTTGCACAAATTTCCGGTATTTGCCAAGGTAGTGGGAGCACGAGCCGAACAGGTTGTTCTATTATATCGTGCGAAGCGATCTGAGAGGTAAAACGGCCTGAAGAGAATAAAGAGCGGCCCGGAAAATCGACAAATTTCACTGCGATCATTTCCAGTCACCACCGGCCTGACCATTTCTCAGTTTCCTACGATCAGTTCCTGATCTCGAAACCAGTAAACATTTCAACCAGACACCGCGGAAATCCTGTCGCAAGCTCTAGATATCAGACAATATCGCTGGTTACGTAAACGAGTGACATAGACTCGCCAGGAAGTGGTTCGCCTTTTCTAATGGGAAGGAAAGATTGTATTCGACTTTCAGAGATACGCGGATAATCGTTATATTTAACATTTTTAAATTATAATCTTATTAAAAAAAAAATACAATGTATGAATAGAGATAACGATGCAGTTCAGTCAAGTGTCCTCTCTGGAGAACCCCTGTTCCTCATCTCGTCAAAGGTCTGCCATAAATATTTATGGTGAACCAGGCGTTTCGCACTTCATCGCCCAAGTTGCAGTCCAGATGCCTCGGCATCTGGAACTCATCAGCCCCGTACGCCAATTATTGGCTGTCCTAATGCCGACCTTCTTACATATACGTTTCATACTATTCATGGAGAAAGTAAAACAATGAAAAGTAAAAAATAAATTCTTCCCGAGTCTATCGTTTTCACTCGTGATAACGTTAACATCGTTTCTTAAGAACCGAGAGACTCCCTACAATTTCTAATTCCAATCTCTTCTCATGGGAACCGATCGTAAATTGTACGAAGCGAAGAGAAGAGGTTCGAACCTGTGGGACTTTCTATAATCTCGTCTCCGTGAATTCTTCTTCTTCTTCCGTAGGAAGATCACGATGCAGGAGGTACATGTACACGACCGGTCTTTCTCCTATTGGCACTCACGCATTGCTTCGTGCCTCCATAATTTGTGTGTTTCGAGGTCGCGGAGAGAAGAAGACCCGGTTTCGAAGCCAAGGGAATCTTGGGGAGGTAGAAACGTGTCAGTCGAGTTCGAGGTACTTTGGCCACGTCGAACAGGTGCCACAAATGTCCTCCTTATCTCGATTGTTCTATCCAGCAAACTTTACTCCGACTATCGCGTTGATCATTTAATTGTATCAAACATAATTACGAGGTTGCGGATATTTATCCATGCAATGCAGATATGCAATTACTTTTTATAATATGCAAAAATAGTGAGATAGTTCCGGAAGGTCTGGCTAATAATTTGAACGTTCGATAAGCCGCTCGTAATAACGTGATTTTCTATCTGGCAAACTGGTTTACGTTTACTTCCGATCTTATCAAGCATATAATTTAGTTTCCTTCCTTTTTCGCTCGCAATTCAACAAGCAAGAGTAAATAAATTTTACCCGGGTAGAGGCATGAGCATCTGTCTCGGCTCGCCAAGTTTAAATAAGATCAGATTTCTAGACCGACCGTTCACAGTGCTGTTTATATAGTTCAGATTATTTCTGACCATAAACAACCCAATTAACTTGACGTTTCCTCCGAGTAATTTATAAAATAAAAAGAATCCAGATTTTCTATCCAATTAGTGGTGAATTTTCACTTTTATAACAGAAATTCTGTTACCAATTTGATGAGTAAATTCTGGAGACATTTGTCGGAGGTATCGTAACGTGAGAATGGTGCGGGATGTGTCAAAAAAGACGGTGTGCGGCTGCACCGACCGCAGGAGGCGGATATTACAAAGGCATCGATGCCACGAACGTGGGCGACGCTCGAGAAAGTAAAAAATACTCCAGGGCCACGTGCATTGTCTTTTGAATACCGCCCACTTGTCAACGTTCCGTGGAAGGTGATCGTATGCGGGCATCGTGCGTTCAACTTATGAAACCACAACCGAAGGAATGGATTTTCAAGTATGCGAGACCACTTTCGATAGGATAAGTCTTCTGAACGTGATGCAATCACATCGAGTACCTCAGAGCTCAGTAAAATAAGAGAACTCCTTATCAAAAATATAATACGTATACATCGACAGTTTATGTCCCGTGCAATCGCGATCCGGGGAAGTAAAATGTAGAAATAGGCAATTAAAGTTAGCGTACTTTGTTAAAATTTCAAATTTTTTTACTTATCTCGATGGACGGTTAATTTGACGGGTTACACCTCGCTTATTGAATATTTTTCAACCCGGTTCGTTCCGAATGCGTGCGAGTGTAATAGATCCCGTAACGATTACCAAGATCGTACGGAACGGAACCTAAACAGCGGAAATGAAATGCTAAGAAAGGGGATAAATTACGTTCGATCACGTAAACGAAAGCTGAAACGTGTATAGGTATGGTATTTCAAAGTCGTGAACGACGTTTCAACTTGCTATTCGTCGCGTTCCTTCGCATGCATTATCCTGCCAATAAGAAAATACGCGCGTTTTGTACCTTTCACTGGAAAATGTATTCCTGACACAAGCCACGGCAGGACATGTGTAAATATCCGTGGAACCTGTGCCATGAACGGGTAAATTATACAGCAGCATTTGCTCAACTACTGTCATTTATATTTTGTTATCACGCATTTCAACGATACGTCGAAGCGTTACATTGTCGATGAATTTATGAAGAAATATTTCTAAACCGTTTTTCTTCGAGAGGATCCTTCGGTCCATGAGTCACGGAATTTCATGCGATTCCAGTTTTACAATTATGCGAGTTTTCACGTCGGCCTGCGTGGTTCGCATTCCATGTGGATCAAATAGTTTCCATTTCACTAACTAGATTCGGTGTACCATTCCAGAGTGACTTTCACGTAAAGAAATCATTCTGGTCACATAGCGCGGCGCACCTCGGTAGAAATTCCATAATGACCCAGTACAGGGGAAATCTCGGCGTATCTTCGTTTCGTATGTCTACCGATGTGTGGAGAGAAAAAACGGAGGATTTCTACCTAGAGCGACCGATCCAGGCAAATTTGCTTCGCGAAAACACTGAAAAACTAACTGCTCCTCCACTCCTTTAGTGTCTATGTTTAAACGTGATGTGGAAACAAAACTCTCGAGTATCTTATTTCTCGCGTTTCGTTTATTTCGTCTCTATAGGAAACGGTTTCATAAGTAACGCCAACTACTTTCTCCACTCTCTTGAGCCTTTGTTGCATCGCAAAGAAATCGGATGCAGAGTAACGTAAGACCGGTTACTATACGTATATTTACGTTATTCAAGTATCTGTATCTACCACTTTCGATCGTTAATTAATACCCTTTCAAGTTTCCATTTGGCAATTATCAAATCAAACGCGTATCAACTTTCCCGTATTCTAACGTAATTAAAACGCGAGCAACAGGTGGGGGCAGGAGTAAGACAAGATCACTTACGTTAACCATCCGTGGCTGCGTTTAGGTTTCGTCTTCTTCGCGGAAACCTTCTTCGGTTTAATATCTCGTCCAAGGTCGCACGTTCTCTTCACTCTTTTCACTGAATCCCTGTGGAAAGTTCTTACGCACACACTAATCTTGTTGGCACTTGCACTTTCATCGAGTGATCTCACTGCTCGGAACCAACGAGTTCATGCGAAATATGCAACGATCACGGTGAATCGACGATGATCGACGAAACGCGGAATTGTGCGACGAGCGGAAATTATTCAAAACGAGACGCGAGAGGTGCATGTCGCGGCTCCGCGGACGGAGCAACTTTTGCCACCGGCTTGGACCGACCAGACTACAATTCGCTGACTGACTGCGCGCTGACGCTGACTGCCAGCGGACTGGCACTACTGGCAGTCGTTGTGGTTGTGGTTGTGGATCCGGACCCGATCGCTACCATCATCCTAGCTGGCCTTCCTCCTCTTTCTCTGGTCGTCGGCTCACTGACGATCACTATCCTCTCTCTTTTTCCTTCCTCACTGTACTACCACTGGTTCTGTTTATTCTCTCACAAATATCGAACTTTGTCTACGAGAAAATAATTAGATTATCAAATAGAATAATTAGAAAGAAAATATTATCTCTCACAAATATCGAACTTTGTCTACCAGAGCCCGGTCAATGATGTTTCATTATTTCGTTCGGTTTTCAGTCTTCCGAGCACCGAAAAGCCGAAACATTATCTCGAGAATTGATGAATATTTTATACGGCATGTATGTATTGATATAGTCATATCACACGTGACTGTTTTAATTGTAATGCCAGCGGTACATAAAATGACATTTTATGACGTCGTATTAATTTTTGGTGTGCAATTATTTCTTATGCAGATTAAATTTCTTTCATCCTTTCGTGCAGTAGCTTTGCAGGATTTTGATAGTCTAGTTCAATATAACTATTCTTCTTAAAAGGAACTCTGTAATAATGTATTCGTAGAAATTGGTACCTAAGATATGTTAAAAGACTTGATTTATTAATAATGATTTGAAAGAAGAATTGAATCTCGAGTGAAAAGTGGGAACATAAAATAGAAGTGACCGAAGAATAGGCGTAGTTGAAGGAAAAAGAAGATAGTCCTGAATTCCAAGCAAAAGCTCCTGTAAACAATTAGTTATGTGCTTTAGTTAAACACAGTAACATTTTAACTTTCAACGCAACTTCTGTAAACTAAATAGTGGCGACATCTGGTATAAATTCAAATATTTCCTAAGTATCCAACGCGAAGTTTAAAGAATAATGTAGAATATTTATTAATAAATGTTCTCTCTTAATTAATTAGTAGATAATGTTACAAGTAAAGATTTCATCGGAAATAGGGGAATGATATTTACAATTTTATATTAGAAATAGTTTTTATTCAACCTGAGATACAAATAAATAGAAAACAAGTGTCAATTAAAAATAAATAGGCTGACTAAAATGGCACATTACTTTCATTACACTAGAGTATATATCTTAATCGTCTGGCAAGCATCCTTTGTATTCGGTACATTTTAAACATCATTGTTATCGTCCCAATGCGAATTTTCGAGTGTCATCAAGAATGGTCTCCTCGGAGTTGGACATAAAAATTTCTGATACACCGGAAGCCAGTGATCAGTCTTGTTACCAGCCGGTTCTAATAAATTATTCCAGAGACCGTTCGCGTCTTCGAAATTACAAACAATTATTAGAGACTAACGAATAACTGTCATATGATCAAGATCTCTTGAAACTTACATCGCGCGTTACTCTTTTGGCTTATATGAAAGCAGTCGGACGAAAGATACGACATATCGGAGTATCCATCCTCTGCAAGTGGTATCATCGAATTTTTAAGAACAGGTAGAGCTACCACAGTGAAATCCTCTCTGTGAAACTCTGGGTATTCTGCGACTTCTTCCTCTAAGTCCTGCCACCTAAATAATGGTATCGTAAACGCATAAAAAAGGCAATTCATCAATCAGCGTTAAAGATATAGAAAATTAGGTATGACAATGCTGTATCCGCATTCTTTCTGTAAATGGGATAAGACAAGGCTGTTACGTCGGAAGTCCATTAAAATTACCCGATTAAAATAGTTTCTGAAATTAGTTTGAACGCAGCACGAGCTTTATACTTGTTGCAGTATTGTGCATTATACTCATTGTCAGCAGGATCTCTTCTCTTCGTTGTTATTCAACCAAACATTCCATAGAAGCAATACTATATTGCCTTTCGTTTTCGGGTCAGATTCGAAAACCGGTTTGTTATTTCTTCGTAAACACAACTACTTTTTGTTTGAAAAAGCATTTGATACGATATTGTTCCAATGAAATAATACTCTATTCTTTTTCTTATTTTTTTAATACCTAAGTGATAATTGTTAGCTTCGATTACGTGTGTGTACAAACCTCCTCATTATCTCATAATATTCCGGTCTTTGATCTCTGAATTGCAAGGCAAACAAGCACGAGCACTCGATGGTCGTCGTTATATAGCAATTCAACGAGTCTCTTCCTTCGCGTGTATCAACGAGTGCCTTCAAGTGCGGAGGTAAATGAATAGTAACGAAGGTCTTTGGTAAATTGTCCCTTAATATTCTAAGAGTAGCGAGTAAATCGGTTTTGTGATCCTCCAATACGGACCACGGCGAAGGAACCGAACACAATTCTGAACAAAAATCGTTGCTCCCGATAAACAACGAAATCAACTGCGGAAGAAGAATTTAAGAAATCTTTAGAGAATCCATACAATAAATATTCTTCCTAAATTTACCTTCCAATGCTTTTTTAAATCTATTCTCGGATCATTTTTTATTTTTTTCACTAGATATTCAGCCATGAAAGGCATGTCTCTGGACATGGCACCAGTCTCAGCAACGTCCAGCTGCGATTTCGGATGAGTAGTCAAAGAATCTCCAAGCGCGTACCCCACTAGTTTAGGGTTGAATTCCTGCAATTTCGTTATCAAATAAATATTCGTTATCTAATTTATATCGATCGTTGATTGACTAGTCTTTACTTTGAGAATGTTGGGGAGAGTCAAGTACGTTCGCCACGTCCCTTGTCCACCGATACTGCCTGCTACACCCCTGTTTTCGATACCGATCTGAAATAAATTGCTAGCAAAAATGCCTGCCCCGGCAGTCAACGAATCGCCCAACGCTGCGATAACGTCTATGTCGCCTGGCCGCAAACGATGAACCGAAGTAGGCACCGTGGATGATCTCCCATCTGAATTAATAAAATTATTAATACAATACAATTATTTAATATAGCTGCGAAGATCTTCGTTTATTATAAGTAGAAAAAA